TCAGGAGACCTCACAGCAAGTATGAAATTAACTTCTCCAAATTAATACACACATCAACAAATTAAAGGTATGGAAAAGGGTTATTTATTATTTAGGAAATGCTCCTTAATACTTCCTGCTTTGATAATTAGTTAGATGATGGGTAGTGTCTGGTGATAAGACTGTTGAGTATTGTGAGGTTACCTTAGGACCATAGAATGCATTAAATCAACCTCCACCCCTCCCCCTCCCCCATATTTCACTTAGATAAATGAGATACAACCAGATGGCTAATGCATACTTGTTTCCTGTCAATTGGAAAAGGTGTGCCCAGACACTTGCAGTTTTGATCTCTATTTACAATAAGCTAAATTTGATCCTGGGTTCTGTGTTTCCTTGTTATGACATGTGGTATGATCAGTTTCAAAGGGTACGTTGTTGTGAACACATTATGGGAAAGAATGGAGTGTTGTAATTATAACTCTCTATTACAGCTTTTGCTGAGGTTGATAAAGGACAAGCTTTTCTTCCTGAATTGTTCCTGTAATTACATCAGAAATAACATGCAGCAGTCACCTTCCATTAGGGGTGGGAAAGAAGGATTCTTACTATTTAAGCAATCACATAAGGTGCTGCATGAATCATCATCAACTTCGTCGTGAGGAATTAAAAATAAAAGGAACAGCTGACATCATCCTATAGCAGGTTTGATGGATCTGAGAAATGCCAGATAGTTTAAGGAAAAGAGCTGTCCTTAGTGATGCCCCAGTCCACGTGTTAATAGCCTATTGGCAGTTGTTCTCAAACTTGAGCTAGCATCCGAATCTCCTGGGCCGCAGCCTAGAGTTTGTGATTCAGGAAGGGTGTGGTGAGGTCTGAGATTGTGCATTCCCAGCTTCACAGATGATGTTGATACTGCTGGTTTGAGACTGCATGTTGAGAACCATTAGGCTAAGGGACAGAAATAGGTGTAACTTGGGGGAAGGTTCAAGAAACTGAACTCTCAAGATTAATTCCCCAGTGTCTGTTAAAATAATCTTGATGAATATACAAATTAGTCTTTGGGGTGGTGTGCAAGCTTTGTCAAGGGCATCTGCTCTTTGTGACATTGTGAGTGAACATGAACAAGAGGTGCAAACATAAATGAGTGGTCTCCTGTCTCTCCTGGCCCATAAAATCTTGGACAAACTTGGATGGATACCAATGTCTTGAGAATTCAATTTAGTGATAAATTCTCAAGTTGCAAGGTTGTAATTTTTTTTCTTGTCAATCAAACACACTTTACGTGGGGACCATCTGTAGGAGAACAGTCGCTTTAGCTAAGGGTATTCCAAGTCCCAAGCCACTGAATCGTCGTCATTTTCACACCTGCCTGGCAAAGTAGCTGTTCGCAAGATGAAAATACACATCACGTGTTACCAGTGGCTGTGGCTCTAGGCTTCTCGCTGGCTCTAGAATGGCCTTTTATTCTGTTAACTTACTATCCTATTCTAGCCATAGCAACCACAGCAGTGAGAATCACTAGTGTTTATGGAGGGCTCACTGCCTCTCCGAGGTGGTGGCTGTGCTTCTGGCTGAATCCCACCGCTGTTCTCGGAAGGAGGCACCGAGGCACAAGAAGATGGGGACTGGGACAGCCCCTGGGTTGTCCTCACACAGCTTGTGAGAGTTGGACTTCTCTATTTGAGTCCAGGCAGCGTGAGCAATGTGGGGCAGATTGAGATTTGACTCTCTTTTGGGGCACTTTCAATGGCAGTGTGATGAGAGGCCTTGCTGAAATGGAAAGATGCTAGAAAGTTTTGAAGTATGTTGCAACCAAATGTATTTAAGGTTGTATAAGTTCTGAGGTCGAGGATCATTCTAGATCTTTGTAACGGGGCAGAATTTCACTATGTGATGAATTGAGCTGCTCTGCTCCACATAAGATGAAAACCATCTGAGGCCAGTATTGCAATTATGGGTTTGTTGTTTTTTCCTATGTGACTCTGTTATTTGATAAGGGAAGATCGAATGACTTAAAGCTTATAAACATGTTCATGATTTGTTTCTCGCATGCACCAGTGGGTGGTCTTAATCATTTGAAATTATTTTTGTAAGCATGAAGATACTTTGAGCTGAGCTCTACACTCCCTTCCAACTATTTTCTCACAGGAGTAAGTCTACCGGACAGCTTTGGTGCTGTCCATGAGCCGCTTTGCTTTACTAGGTTCTGGAAAATGAGAAAGGGAAAGACTGCTTTGAGCTATATATGTCCATGGTTGTTTTGGCATCAAGATTCCGAGATTCTCTGTTTGGAAAGACATGGTCCATAGGGAATAGGAAGGTGAAAAACTTGAGTGTAAATTTGAGAAGGGGATCAGTCTGACAGCTTCTGGTGCAGAAGGGCATAAGGAATGAGGAGGTGTGAGACCCCTGGGTCTGAAATTGGCCACCATTGTCCTCTGTCATTGGATCCAGAGGAGGTACTGCAGAGGTGGTCCTTGAACATGTGAGGTAAGAAACTCCAATGCAGATTCCTCATAGAATGCCACCCTAGGGTGCAGAGCTGGTCAAGTAGGGTATTTTGCTTGTGGGCCATTTATAATATCTTTTCTCCAAAATAACAAGAGAAAGGGCTAAAACGTTGGTTGAAAATGGGATTCCAGTTTTTCCTACCTACTTTTTCACCAACTGTCCCCTATGATTGCTGCCTTATTCTTTGTAGATTGAATATTGAACTCCCGTGATGCTTTACAAATGCTTTCATAGTTTAGGTGTAATTAAGAGAGGAAAGAGAAGCAAAGCTCAAGAAGAGTGTGAGGGAGCCTGTTAATCTCCAGAAAATAAACTTTTGGGTGAAATCTTGGCGAAAGCTGTGGAGTGGTGCTGTTTTGAAAATGAGGAAGGAGAAAGGAATTCCTTCAGTGTTTTCTTGATCTAGAGACCTGGCTAGAAGTGGTTATAAATTTTCATTAATGGTGTATATTTGGCTCCGCAGGAAATGATATTTAGGATGAGTTGAACATTAAAGCTTTCCTGAGGATAGACGCTAATGGCCTTTTGGTTTCATGGTGACCATGAATTTTGCTAATGATAGAGCCAAGGGTAATGCAGTAGTTCTCATATGACTCAGGGAGTAGTTATCTGATGCTTCAGGGGAAATCAAGATTGAGTTCTTATTTAATAGGAGTATCATTGAAGAAAACACTGAGATTTGAAAACGTTGGGGGAGGTAAAGTTGAACTTTCTTGGATGTGGGGGTGGGGAGGAGGACATATCCAGAACGTTTTTTGAATCTTACAGTCTAACTGCTCGATCCCAGCGCTCACTTGATCCCCAGCACTCACTTGGAGAATTGTCAGGCAACGCACCACTTGAGATGTTGATGAAAACATACAGTAAAGAGTAAAATCACTGAAAGTCAGCCTGTGTCATTTAGGTCTGAGGCACATGGGTATTCCTTTTGTTAGCCCACACCAGTATACGTGAATGAAGGGATTTTGATACTGACCAAAATGCTTAGGATTTTTTTTTTTTTAAGATTTTCTTTATTAGAAAGAGAGCGAGTGAGCACGAGTGGGGGCAGGTACAGAGGGAGAGGGAGAAGCAGACTCCCCGCTGGCCAGGGAGCCCCGATGCGGGACTCTATCCCCAGACCCTAGGATCATGACCTGAGCCAAAGGCAGACACTCAGCCGAGTGAGCGACCCAGGTGCCCTGTTTTCTTAAAATATATCTTGACAGGACTTGCTGGAGCTAGCGGCTTTTTCTGTGTCACAGTATTGTGTTTCCAGAAACCATTCCTTCACCTCAGAGCTGTGTCCAAAGGGAGGCTGGTATAAAGAGGGGGCCATGTGGTCATTGGCATTGACGGTGTTCTTTGTAACCTCCCGTCCTTCTTGAGTAAACATCTGTGAGGCAGGACTGCTGGATGTGGTTGGTGGGTTGGGAAGGACTGCAGGTGGAGTCCGCTCTCCCCCGTTGCCCCAGGGCACGGCTCTCTGGTACTGCTCAGATTGTTGACACCCACACAGATGTTCATGCTGCGAAGGGTGGTTGTATGCTGTAGACCGTATAAAGAGGGAACTGGCTTGTTTTGATTTAAAAAAAATAACAGAACTCCAACATTTTCTAGCAGAACATGGTGCATGCTCTACTATTAGGTCCTTCAGTGGTCAGAGCAGTTGGTTAGCCTTAAGAACACTTTTGGGCAGTCAGCTTGGAGATGGGTCTGTGCAACATGTTTGTTATTTTTTCCTCCCTCCTTTCCCCTTCTCTCCTTCCCTGCCTCCCTCCTGAACTCTTTCTGTTTTATAATTCTCTGCTGATAAATTCCAGGAGTATCAGAAACATGCTGAAGATATCTATTAAAGGACATGTTCTCCTCTTTTTTTTTATAAAGGAGTATTATAGAAGGAAAATACTAGCTTTATCAGAAGCACATAGTAGATCTGTTTCTAAGTACTTTTCACTCTTCTTATTTAATTTTATTCTTCAAGGTGAAGTTGCCACAAGTAATCTGTTACATTTGAATGAAAAGGCTTGTAATTCAATTGGGTTTATCTCCTATTGCAAATTACTTAGTTTTTTGTGATAGAGTTGTTTTTAAAATTGTGTGTATACATATACTTGGAACTGTATGTGTATATTAATGCAGTCTGGTCTGGAAAGCATTAGAATTGGTAAAAGCTTGGGTTTAATGCCTCCTGAGACTTGGAACAAAGAACAGTTTTCTGCAGAAGCTCCATCTTTGCCAAATGTAGCCTTATTCCTGCTAAACTAATAATGGATGGATTTGGACCTTAACACATGAGATAATACAATTTTTTTTTTTTAAGGTAAATGCCTTTGGGTGTTGAAGTTGATAGGGCCTCCCAGCTAGCTGTTTTTAAGTTATTTCTTTTTGGGAGACTATGTTGAAAGGCAGTTGGGTTGCAAAATGGGAGAAGCAAAGTCCACAGAAGATCTTTGTCAGCCTGTTTGCAATAGATCAAGTTGTTAAAGAGGAGAAACTTAAAAATGTCTTTGTCCTTGTGATTTCAGGAGTGATTACTGTTCTAAAGTGGACATCGGAGGAGGATCCATTAGGCCATGTAAGTACTGAAGTAAGCAGATATCCATGTGGCTTAGCACAGACCCAGGATATTTGCCCTTGGGAGGGAGAAGATCCAGTAGCTGAGTCAAATGTTAACATTTGGAAGTGTCTAAATACAGACCCCTAGTCCCAAAGGGCTGAGAGGTGGCTCTCCCAGTGCCACCCCAATCCTCAGGGGACATCTCTGGCTCTCTGCTGAAGGCCTGGTGGAATTTAATCTCTTGGGATAATTCGGCAAGGATATTTTATCTGTCTAGAATTAGTAAAGTGACTGGAGCAGAAGGCCATTTATTGCTATATTCAGTCATGATGAAACATGACTTTATTTAGCGTGATACCCTTCCATAGAATGTCTGGTTCCTTCAGAGCAGCCCAACCCAAATCCGACACAGAGGATCATCATGTGAATATAAGTAAAACCAATGAACTGAAGAGTATGATTTCTAAAGACCGCACAATCTCTGAACTGGGTATTAAGGAACTCAAGAAGTACACTTTCCTAAGTCCTCAGTTATGAACGTATTTTATGGAGGAAAAAATTTGCTAAGTGCTTCCATATTTGAACCATCTGAATAGTCTGTAGCACTTAAAATCACTGCCCAGGCTACCCTTGAGAGTTACCTTGGTAAATGAGTTGTCAACTAGGAGCAGAATATCCAGATTTCACAGCCTCCTGGGATTTGGGTGTCAAGGTTATGGGGCTAACAGAATGGAACTTTAAACATTCCTAATTCCTATTTCTTTTATGTATGTGGGTCTTTGAGCAAACTTTGTAATAACATTACAGGAAAAAAATACGGGGTGGGGGGACCCTACCCCAGCACCTCACAAGCAGACAAATGTCTGATATAAATAAAAGCCTTAATGTTAGAGCTAGAAAATCATGTGACCATGTGACTTTTGTCAGTGGCTTCTGTCTAGCTGTCACCTTGAGAGTTTGTCCTGCTGGGAGAAACCAGAGAAACAAGAAGTGTCTCCTTCAGAACCGCAAAGGGATTTTGAATTCTGAGGACGTGGGATTTTGTCTAAGATGGAACAGGCGTATTTAATCCATCCCCCCCCCCCCCACTGTATATCACTTAATTGGAATGGGACTTCATTTCAGGGACTGCACCAACAGAACTGTGTATCTTCAGGAGTCTGTTTTGGCAGTTAGTTCACTGTTGACAGATAGGGCAAGTTCATGCACTGCCCACTAAGATTTGCCAAGCATGGCAGCTGGGGGTAGCAGGCTGACATCGCGGAGACCTGGAGCTGGGTCTGTGGTCCCTGATACCCAGCCACCGTGGCTTACGCTATGGGAAGGATCAGTATCTTTCTTTCTGCCTTTCCTTGGGCTGTGATTTTTTTTTTTTTTTTTTTTTTTTTTTTTTTAATGTCTGTGTCTGCCCCTGCCTCCTGCTCTCAACTCTGCACTGTGTGGGGTTGACAGCTTTCCTGGAGCAGGCAGACGCGTTGGCATCATGTGGCACTCCTGGGCTATGTCTATCTGCCACCAAATATGTTGTCACCTTCCCTCTTGAGCTTGCCATATCTAGCTGCCTTTGCAGGGGCCTCTTGGCTCCTTTGGGAATGACTACTGAAGGAGCAGCTGTCTGTCAGCCTCCTCCAGAGCCGTCAAATTGGGCTATTGTCAACCTGTTGTTGGAGGAGTTCCCAACATAGCTGACTTGGCTGTCACTGACATTTATAACTTGAAAGCCATATCACAGACGAGTTTGCTTTCCTGATAATCTCTTAACTAGCCTTCAGAACCTGCAGCACGTGGCCTTCATACACTGGGGCAACCCCCAGGAGTGCGGAAATAGTTGGGTCTTCCTGGAGGGAGGGGAAGCAGGTCACCATTCTCCCTGCAGCATCTCCTTTCTGACTTAAGTAGGAGGAACTGGTCCTGCCTTTGTGCCTAGGTTTTGTGTGACCGTAGGAGTCCATTTAGGTCAGGATAATTGGCTCCTAAAGACAAATGACTCTTGAACTCTGATTACCACAAAGCCTGTGATCAGAGAGGAATATTGATGTCAGAAAAGGTTGCTTGAAGGGGTTGGTAGATCCCATTTCTGGTTTTTTTTTTTTTTTTACACCCTAATTTTTCAAAGAACCAGTTTCTAACTTTGATTTCTTGAGACATGACCAGAAGAGAAAGATGCAGTGTTGGTGGTAAAAATAAAACCAGAGCCACACCAGTAAATCTCGTGAACACATATAGCCAGAGAAAGCCCAGAGTGGAATCAGGATGGCTTTTACTTCTTGTGGGTCTATTTAGAGTGTAAATTCCTTGAGGGTTAGGACTGGCCTTCTTGGTCTTCATACCACCAGTAGCTAGCGCAGAACCTGGCTCGTGGCCCCACGGTGAGCTGAGTAGATGAGTGTAAAGAAGGAAAGATTTTATGTAGAAAATGTTGTTTCTTTTTTTTTTTTTTTTTTAATCCCAGTAGTACGGACATTGAAATATGTTAATCATCAATTCTAGATTATGGGATTTAAAGTTAGTGATGTTTTCCTGTTGGCATCAAAGATGAGTCATCTTGGAAGAGGCAGGGGTTTCGATGGCAGGCCCGAGATGTGATTAAAATGAAACGTCTTCACTGGCTGGGCTCAGATTTCTTTCTGTGGTTCCTAGGACAGTCGTCATGTTTTAGGAAATGTCAGTCCCTGACCTTGGCTGCGTGCTGCGCAGCTGAGTCCCATGCGTAGTTTGCTAGCTCGCCTGGAGTGGGGCAGGAACGGGCTCTTGTGCCAGCTTGATGGGCTGTAGGCTTTGGGAAGATGGTTAACGGAGGAATGTGTGTCACCTGCCCGGCCCTTTGCCTGTGGTGCACATGGGCATCTCATTCCTCTTTCTCCGAACCCGGCAGGTGCCCCAGAGCCTGGAGGACTGCACGTGGGATAGCCACTGCACAGTACCGATGAGCGGACATGGCGGACGAAACCCTGCTTGCCTCCTGGCCCGAGGGAAGGGGGAGGGGGGCTGCGGGGACAGAGGTCAGGGCTGTGGCCAGTCACGTGTCTCGTCACCAGGTCACACGTGGCGGAGCAGAGCCCTTGTCTTCACAAGACATGCCTGGCTTTGACTGAATCTAATCAGAATTCCCGGTTCGTGGCAAGAGGTTTCCATACAACAGCATGTGTATATTCTCTGATTTTACTTGGAAAAAAATGAAATGGTGAAATATTTCAAGTATCCAGAGAAGTGCAGAGACTTAACTAAAATGCTCACTCATGTACCCTTCCCCATCCCCATATCTCACGGGTCCCTTTCTGATGCTGCTGCTGACACCTGTCTTTATTAACTGAAAGATGCTTATGTTGAAGTTACCGTACTTCTGTCCCTGGAAATTTTTAAAAATGGGGTCTGCCTGGAACCTAGACCTACATAGAGCCCCAGCGTACCCACACTCTGAGGACGGTTGGTGCTCCCTGGATCTCCCCTTACCTGTGGTTTCCTGTTCATTCTGTCGTTCTGTCTTGGCCATCCTTGCCATCGATCTGTTTTTCTCTCCATTCAGTTTCAAGGAGATGCTTATGTGCTTATTTTGTTTATTTATTTATTTAAAAGATGTTATTTATCTGAGAGAGAGAGAGAGAGCACATGAGCAGGAAGAGGGGCAGAGGGAGGAGCAGACACCCTGCTGAGCGGCGAGCCTGACGCGGGGCTCCATCCCAGGACCCCGAGATCATGACCTGAGCCGAAGGCAGACACTTAAACAACTGAGCCAGCCAGGTGCCCCAAGATGCGTATGGGTTTAAATCCCTCTCTGCAGCTAGTTCAGGACTCCCCTGTAATGGGCAATTCCGTTAGTCCTGCTCAGCACAGCTAATGCTTTCTCCACATCCTGTGCCCTTCCCGTGACGAAGGCTGGGTTGCACTTCATCAGACTTGGTGTCGCACGCAGAGGACTCACTCTCATAAGAGCCTCTCATTTCTCCCCAAGCTGGTATGCGGTTTCTCTGTGTATGTCGACCTCCCTAGAGGTGGGAGGCGAAGGCCATTTTATTTTGCCTCTCCGACTTAGAGTGATGGATGGACGCTCCGGGCAGGCTGAGGCCCTCCCTCGGGTTAATTAACATGGGCAAGGCCCACTGGCAGGTTTTTAGTCATATATTCTCTTGCCGTGGCCATTTTCCGGGACTGGAGTCCTGTGTTGTTTTAGCTGTGTTGATGGATGACTGACCGCTTAACTCTTCATTTTGATGTGAGCCTCATGATGGCTTACAGGAGTCCATGGAGGCCGCTCGCGCATCAGAAAGGTTGGTGGGGGGTTTGCCATCATGCGGCTAATGAGACGCCACCTCGAGGTGGTGGGGGTGGGGGGTTGCTGGGTAGGAGGACGGAGGGGAGCCCAGGCAAGGCAGGAGGGACTGGGGGAGGCGGGGGAGGGACCTTGGGAATTTGGCTGAAGAGTTTGGGGATTCTGGGTGAATGGGGGAATAGAACGATTTTTTAAACTTCCAGACCATCATGGATTGGCACGACACAAATAAATGACTAGGAAGTGAAAAGAAAAAACCAAAAACCAAAAAACAACCAAGGAGGTCCAGAATACAAACCTTCAATTTTATTAGTGGATTCAAAGACAAAATTACCCTGTCACATTACCATAAAAGTTTCCAAAACACTTAACCCTCAAGTTGGGTACTTATGCCTGTAGATGAAACACTTGGTGGACTGGCCCTGCTCTGTGGACTGCCCTCCCTCCCTCCCCCTCCACTTGGAGCAGCACTTATTTAGGAGATGTGGGTCTTTGCTAGGTGCCTTTTTTTTTTTTTTTTTTTAAGATTTGTTTGTTTATTTGAGAGAGTGTGTGGGGAGGGGCAAAGGGAGAGGGAGAATCTCCAGCAGACTCCCCGCTGAGCGCAGAGCCTGATGTGGGGCTTGATTCCACCACCCCGAGATCATGACCAGAGCCGAAATCAAGAGTCTGACGCCCCACCAACTGAGCCACCCAGGCGCCCCAGCTCTGTGCCTTTTATGCTGTGAGGCCCACCCTGACCTACCTTTATCTTGTTTTTTTCTGCTTTATAAAGTAAAAGTTGGTTTGCACAGCACTGTTCTCCCTGATAGGAAATGAGGGATCAGGAACAGATGCTTGTTCCTGAGTGTCCCATCCAAATGGGTTTCCTTTCAGAGATCTTTCTAGAAGGGACATGATGGGGATTATTTCCTATACCCCCTAGGCCACCTTAAATAGATGTCTGACCAGCTCATTCGAAAGGTGTGTGTCCTGCATTTGTAACCTTCTGTACAAGTGGATCTCTCTGCATGTGTGTGGGTCTGTGTGTGCAGTCAGGTGGCACCCAGTGTAAGTTTTCTCTGGGCGATAGTTTGAGCCTGGTGGGGGTGGTATAGAGCAATGATCCCTTTTATGAAGTCCTTTACTGACCGAGGCCAACTAGGTCCTGACTTTGAAGCCAGGCCCTCCACGGTTTACCCTGCAGTGGTGTCTGGCAGAGCCCATGGAATGGGGGGACCAGGTACAGGAGCCCGCCTGGGAGGAGGTTTCAGCCAGGCCTGGCAGTGTTTAGTCCCTTGCCATTTGTGTTCCATTGTCTCAAACTCTGTCACTTGGCCGCACCTATCCAGAAAATGTAGTCTAGCTGTGTGTCCCGGTGGGGAAGGGGATGTGGGTTCAGTGAGGCGCGAGCATTGTCCATAGCCTCCCTGACTCCTGATTTTCTGATTCACTTACCCGAATCGTTTTGCTATTACATTCTTTTATCCACATGAACTCTTTTATTCCTCTTTTATGCCTGCTTGTGATGATGGCCAGGCGTTACAGTTTTATGCACTGGGGTGAGAAACAATGGGAAGAAAAGAGAATGGAAGTTCCCCTCAGTTCATGGGTAGTGATTACACAGGCTGCTGTCAGCAGCTGGGAATGGCCAGTGCTGACTACAAAAGAATATTGGCTATGTGCCATAGGCCGCATTTGGATTTTTTTTTTTAAATCCAGGTATTTATGAGTTGAGAGTAATGCTTAGTCTTTAAAAAGTAAATAGCACTTAAGCAGAAGGAAACCATGGGGGCAGGGGGCAGCCAGTGGCCCATGTTGAAAGGTGGCCGAGGTAATGTAATTTGATAAAAAGCAGGAGTAGCTCTAGTATTTTCATAAGTGCATGGTTTGTTGTTGCTGTTGTTGTTCCCAGTAGCAGCGAATTAAAAACACACCAAACCCCCCGGACACCTTTATTTGCTTCCAATCCAGGGAAGCCAGTGAGTCAGAATAAGAGAGGTAAGATGGTGGGAGAGATGGGTGAATGTGCGCCAGGGAGGGTCTTGGCAGAGTCGCGGGGCATAGCATCCTTCTGGAGCCTGTGTGTGCTAGAGTGACCAGGAGAGCTGGACGAGGCCTTTTGCAGAGAACCCGCTATGGAAAAGTGAGCATGTAGGGGGTGGCAGAGGGGAGCTACCAAGAAGAATATGTGTCCATCCAGAGATCTGCAGCCACAGGAAGATGTCCACCCCCCTCAGGGCTGCAGCAGGGTGGGAGTTGGTGGTGGTGTCACAAAGGTCATGGGGACCCCTGGGCAGAGATGCATCTGTGCAGGAGACGCTGCTGTGCAGAGACTCCGGCTTCCTCCCTGTGCCTGCCCTCCCAGCTTCTGCTGGCCCTTCCCCGAGGCTGACCCTACATGGAAACCAGATGGCCAGCAGGTTTGGGAGATGTGATTTCCTATGATATGTCTCAGGAAGGGCGGGGCATGCAGAGAATGCATTTGAGAGCAGAAGGGTAGATAGTTGGCCCAGGGAGTGTAACCTCTCTGTGGAAAGGAAGGAGAATCAGTAGAAGGACAATGAATAAAGCAAGAGATCGCGTTAGGAAAGAAATGTGGAGTTTTGGTTACTTTCCTCCATGTCATATTCTCTCCCCTGTGTTTCTCTACTACCACCTGTGTTCCTTTTCATCATTTTCTTAAATGCTTTTCACACCACATGCTATTTTCTGGACCTTTTTGACTCCTCAGTGAAAGCTAACATCTATTGAATGCTCACTGTGTGCCAAGATGGCAGAGTTCTAAGTGCTTGATCTGTCTGAATTCATTGACTTATCAAAGCAGCTCTGAGGCAGGTACAGTCAGTCCTCATTATGTGAGGATTCTGTATTTGAATATTTGGCTACTTGTTAAAATGTGTTTGTAACAACAAAACCAATAGTTGCTGTGCTTTTGTGGCCATTCACAGACACGGGCAGAGTGCAGGGAAACATGAGTGGCCTAATGCATGTTCCCAGCCGAGATTGAACATGGCAGTGCCCTGCCTTCTTGTTTCTCATGCTGTAGATGACTGTTCTCTTTGTGGTCTAATTAACGCCCCTTTTTGGGGGCCTCTTTGAACTTTCCTTGGGTGATTTTCTGGTTTAAAATGGCCCCTGAGCACAGTGTTAGAGTGCTGTTTGGCATTCCGAAGTGCGGGAAGGCAGTGATGTGCCTGATGGAGAATGTGCATGTGTCAGGTAAGCGTCTTCAAGCATGAGTTAGACTACCACTGGCTGTGAGGTCAAGGTTAATGAGTCAACTGTCTATGTGAAAGAAGGTGTCTCAAAACAGAAACACCTAAAACACGATTAGGAATTGATCCGTTGACAGAAATGTTGTAACCAGAGCCTCATAGGAACTTAAACGTGTGTTTCCCCTGGGAACACTGGTTCAGCATTCCTGAAATCAGTGTTCCCTGTGACTTTATAGAACATGACTATGGCAAATAATGACCTTCGACTGTACTACTGTCATCCCCAGTTTGTAGACAGACTGAGGTGCGTAGAACTGAAGAAAGTTGCCCAGGTGTCACCTGGTAGGATCGGAGCCCAGGCAGCCCTGCCCATCACTCTTCACCTCTGCTCAACTGGCTTTTACATCTGGATACTCTTACCCTTTTGAATCTGCTGTTGATGCTGGTGAAACCAACACCAGGGCTACTTTCAGTGATCAAACTCCTGTGGTAAAGCCAAGGGTTATCTCTCATTGGGGATCATGGTACGTATAACCCTGCAATAAAGGTTATAACGTTTGACGTCTGTATAAAAACTTTCATGTATTTCATAGGCGTTTGTTCTTGGAAGCACCGTGAAGTGCACATCACCCCTCCATCTCATAAATAAAACCTGGTGTGTGGGGAAGGCTGTGGTTTGGTCAGGACCCCAGGGTGAGAGAGAGTTGTAGGACAGAGACTCCAACCCGTTTCCTGGCTTTAGATCCCTCATTCTTTTTGCAGTATTGACCAGGGCTCTCAGCGAGGCCCTGGGAATGGGGTGCTCGCATTTCCACTGAGACTCGGCTTTGCTGCTTTGATTCTGCTTTGTTCTGGAGAAACCACAGAAAGTTAGAATTGTGTGTAAAATAAGTGATTCCAAGGAGGGACCAGAAACGGTCTTCCACTTCTTTAAAATGACCGTTTATTTCCATGTATATAGAAAGTCTTTCCTGACCAGAATGACATTTCTGGGAAGATGTTGATTTTTTTTTTTTCTGTTCTTTAGGGAAATATTGGAAAATAAATAAAAAATAAAGGAAAACTAATTTGAGGGGGCTGCTGGCATTTCCTCAGTGGTATACTTGCCTAGACATTGTTCATGCTTTGTCTCTTTAGTTTTCTAGATGTATTTAAAGTTGTGTTTGGATAAGAAATAGATGTACTTGTTAAGAGTTAAAAGGATAGGGGCGCCTGGGTGGCTCAGTCGGGTTCAGCATCTGCCTTCGGTTCAGGTCAGGATCCCGGGGTCCTGGGATCGAGCCCTAAGTTGGGCTCCCAGCTCAGTGGGGGGTCTGCTTCTCCCTCTCCCTCTGCCACTCCTCCTGCTTGTGCTTTCTCTCTGTCAAGTGAATAAACAAAATCTTAAAAAAAAAAAAAAAAGTTAAAAGGATGTAAAAAAATACAAAGTGCCCCTTCCCTGGGGCAAACACTGTGCCCGATTCTTGTGTACTTTCCCAGAGGTGTTCTAAGCTCTGAGGTGGCCCAGTGATTCTCAGCTGGTGGTGAGCCAGGGACATTGGCACACATCGGAGGAGGCTGGGGGAGTGTTACTGGCCCTGTGGTGGGTAGAGCCCCAGGGTGCTGATAAATGCCATACAATGTACAGGACAGCGCAACAGCATAGTGTTTGGCCCAAATAGTCAATGGTGCTGAGGTATGAAAACCTTTCCCCACCCTCATTATAAACTGTGAGGGCTGTCTTAATGTGGGAAAGACAAATGCTTTTGTGTTTGAACTTCGATGTTCAGGCTTTTGTTTACCTGGTTTCCTAGTGCTGCAGTGGGCGTGGTCCTCTCCAGGTGTGGCTACAGGGGGTGTATCAGCTCTAGAGACCCAAAGCAAGGAAACTGACTTCAGCCGGTCTGCTCTGCTTTTTGTTGTTGTTGTCACAATGTGTGGGCCATTCTAAACAGAGCCCCTGATACAATACTTCCTGGGAAAAACTCTTGTTGGTCTAAGTTCTGAATACTGCTGTGAATAATGCTGTATAGCACTGTTAATAGATATAGTTATATATACACACCAGGTTAGTATACACTTGTACCTGCCATTTCATAAACATGGTATTCTACATGGAAATTAATCTAGAGAATTTCCTGTCTGCCGTTGACCCTGACGCACATGGACTGAGCTGTACAGGTGGCTGGGAGAGTCCGCTCCTAACGGTTCAGGATTGTTGGTGTTTGCTCTGGGGGCGCGTCGTGCCTCCAACCCTTGTGGTACAACATATTCCTTTGTTTCCACAGAGCTTGCCAATAAACTATAGCACAGTTGGGGACAAAAAAAATGGACCTGAAGGTTCTTCAATGCTGTCACTCTTTGTGACCATTTGGAACTTTTACGTGTGATTGAAGTTTAAAACCGTGAAAAACTGAGAACTCCTAAATTTAGCTGAATTTTAGAAGTCACTTTAAAAACTGGCATTTAACGGAAAGGTTGTCGGGCCACCTGGATGGCTCAGTCGGTTAAGCATCCGACTCTTGATTTCGGCTCAGGTCTTGGTCTCTGGGTCATGAAAGTCTGCTTAAGATCCTTTCTCTCCCTCTCCCGCTGTTCCTTCCCTCTGCTGCACACGTTCGCTCTCTTAAAAAAAAAAAAGTTGCTTAAAAACTAAATGACTCAAGAATATGACGATCATTGATTATTGCATGCACATCACTGGAAATAATTTCCTTATATGGAGGAGGGACTATTAGGTAGCGATCTGCCCTGAGTGTCCCCTATGGTAGGTACGCCACTGTTGGGATGGCTGAGATCTTTAAGAACAAATGAAAGGGAATGGAAGTAGGCCTAGGAAAGCATGTAGTTGTTGCTGTCGATCTGGTTTCTGTCCTTGCAATATCAGTGGTCTTCGGAATGCCACACAGGATTGAAATTCTGACCTCTTAGGGTCTTCACAGAAGTAGACAAATCTTGCCCTCCACCCTGATGTTTTAAAACTTGGTTGATTTATACATAAAGAACAGTGTACACATTGCTAGTGTGCAGATTGATGACTTGTCACAGCCCAAGGTGGCTTTGTCAAGGTACCCAGATCAAGAAACAAAATGTGAACAATAACCGGAACCCCCCTGGTGCCCCCGTTCTAGCTGAGATTTCCATTCACCCCCATCCCCAGCGTCACCACTGGCCTGACTTCTAACAGCACAGATCAGTTGTGCTGTTTTTGGATGTTACATAAATGGAATTCATTATACGGTACATAAAGAGAAGACTAATTTTAACCCGTCTCTCTCGATTTTGATGGTGACTGGAGACATTTGAAATATTCCAAAATGTGGCACTTAAACATCTTGGTAAATGTGAGTGGTAGATTAACAAAAATTTCCAGTCTAGCTCATGTGTGGCTTCACTCACAGAAGCACTGGCCTTCAGGGTAGGAACATTTAATGTGCTGGCTTTGGTAGTGAAGAACACAACGAACTTAATTATGATGTCACTTGCTGGGCTTTAGAATTTTATGTGGAAGGCAGATAATTGTATGGACATTAAGTTGGAATTTGTGTATTGAAGTAATCCAGTCCATTTGAAGCTAGAGTATTTTATAGGCTTATAGTGTGGTCAATAAGTTGGATACACTGTATAGAAGCTTATAATTGGATTTAGATTGGGAGCTATAACATGGCAATGCAATTTTAGCTTTGATGTATTCATGCTACCATTTTCTGAGTAGTAAGTGTGTCTTGTCTATAGAGACAGAATGGATGGGACGTTTAATAGTTGAAGTTTGGGCCACAAGGGTCTGAAATTGCCCTCCATGTAAGGGTGGAAAGTCAGTATTCAGTTTGAAGGTCCTTGGGAATGTTGAGCTGTTATATTAACATAAAAGTATTATTTAGAAAAAAATAACCTTCTCTGCAACCATCATCCGTGGTGAGAATATGTATTCTCACTGGTTTCTGGATCTGTCAGTGGCTGGCTCATTCACCATGAGCTGTGGCGCCCAATTCGGGAGGTTGGTGTGGTTCCTACTGAGGTGCTATGTGGCAGCAGGCCACACAAGACATGAAAAGTGTTTGCCACGCAGCTTCTCTTAGTCCCAGCAGAGATGAAAACGAACAGTTCTCGCAAAATTGCTAAGTCAGGGATGTTTGTCTCTGGGAAGCTGCTTTTTGCTCACTTAATTTTTTGGTCTATAAAAAACATCCTCCTCTTTCTTCCCTCCTGAGTGGTTTCTAGCCATCTTCTCAAATTAAAACAGGGAAGAATCCTATGTCTTCTTCTTTGAAACTTCTTTATATCCACTTGCTAAAGCTGTCTGCTGTTGTTTTTGTTTTTGTTTTCATTTTCAAGCCCCTCATGCAGGAGAGGCAGTGCTTGCAAATAAAAGCCAATTCTGGAAGTTCTATCTGAGATGGGAATTGGATCCTGTCACTCCTGGGCTCAAGACCCTCCAAAGTCATTCTTCAGCTACAGGGGGGCCTTGGGTCCTGCTGTGGCATTCAAGATCCCTGGTCACCTTGTCTTCTGCCCAAGACTGGACTTGGCAGCCCAGCGCCTGCCTCCCCTTGTGTCCCAGGCCTGCAGGGGAATGGTGCCCTCCAGTGTGACTGCTCACTCGTGCCTCTGCTCTTCTCCCTGTCGGGGACCTTGCTCTGCCTTCCTCATCTTATCTTTCAAGGTTC